AATTATAATTAATAATAAAATTTCACAGAATTAAAATGTGTAAAGTTTTATTTCTATAAATTAATTAAAAAAAAGTTGATGTTTCGGAAAAAAAAACATTAAAAAAAGTTATGGCTTATTTATAATTATAATTAATAAGTTGAAAAGTTGGCTAACTCTTTCCCCTACAATTATAAAAACAATTGTTGTTTTTTTATTATTTCTTTAATATTTTGTCAGCCAAAACTTGAGTTTTTATTTTTTTCATTGGAATGTTTGTTTATGTCTTGATTTTTTTTTCTTATTTTAGTTAGATTGTTTGAACCTTTAATTTTTAATTTTTCTTTTAATTATAATGCAACGTGAATAATTGTTACTTTTTATAGACGATTTATTATATACGATAAGTAATTTATTAGAAAAACCAAAAAATGACATATTTACTTTCTTTTCAATGACTCAAATAAGAAATCAACATAAAGTTTTATTTCTTTTAGAAATTGTTATTTTTATGAATAAAAAATGGTAAAAATTTAAGAATATGTGTTAAATTATTTATTCTTTCTTTTTCTTGGTGTATTTCACTTATGAAAAATTTTTAAGTAACAATGTTTCTCAATTTTTTTAGTCACTAAATTTGGATGATGGGATTTACTACAACGTCATAAGTGGAGAATAACATGTTGGTGAGATAAAAGAGTCAAATTGTAGTAAACTTTTTAATTGTTTAATTACTTTTTATACTTTTAAACTCTAAAATAAAACTATGAAATTTTTCGTACATCGCACGTGTTTCTGACTAGTTTATAAAAAAAAAAAGAAATACGAGAAGAAAAAAAAACCTATGTTTTAACTTCGGTAACAATAACGTTAGTTACAGGTGGAAGATTATGGTTTTTTTTTTTTAAGAATATACTATGGTTTGCCTGTCCTTGTCGGAAAATATTTATAAATTTAAAAGATACAAATATTTTGTTTTGATAAGTTTGGTCTGAAAAAATTTATTTATCGTTATTTTAAGTTATATTTAAACAAATCTGTAATTGATACTCAACATATAGATCAATAAATATTCGGATCAGTTTGCTCACCATTCGACTAATTTTACGGGACAACTTGACACTACTACATTTGGTTGATGGTAACACGTAGGCAATCGAAATTCATATGTAGGTGGCTAATGACATCTATTTATTATAAATTATAAAAACCATCTAAAAAATAATTATTTGAACAATTTCATTTGAGTTGGAAAAAAAAATGTTATATAATTTTTATAAATTAGAGTACGAATTTGAACTTTCAACCCATAGTTCCAAAAAATCAAGTATATTAAATGAGGTAGGTAAATTACCCGATGGTTTTTATTAAAACATAACGTATCAACATTCAAATATATAATTGGTATATCGACGTCCATATATCAAGTATATTGAATGAGATATGTAAATAGTATATAAAACCATGTCTATAAGCGACATATCAAATATGGTATAACAACAAGCGTATATATCAGTAATTAAATAAGGTATACCAATAATATATCATATGCTGAATAATTTATCAATAATATACAATGACGCGTGTATATATTAGTAATTAAATTAAATATATATCAATAATAAATTATAACTTAAATGATATGACGACGATGTATCAAGTATTAAATGGTATGATCTCGAGGTATAACAATAGTATATCCAATACTAAATGGTATTACGATAAGATAAGGTATATCATAAGTTAAATAATATGACTATGAGATAATTTCAAAATGAGATAGAATTGAAGGTAAAATTAACTTTATTATTATTATTATTATTTATTTGTATGTGCTATGCAAGTTCGGCCTACAAATTTTGCTTTTTTTTTTCTTTTTTGCGCAAAATTGGGATTTTGTTGCCAATCTTGCAAATAAATATTTATTTTTGCTAATTTTGCAAGTGACCCTATGTTTAAACAATTATATATATAATTTATTCAAACTCTTGTTCATCATATACTATGTTTCAATAAATTAGTTTAGTTTTGCTTTTTATCATTTACGTCCACCAAGCATAGTTGGTTAAAGTATATAAATCAAACTATGAGGTTGATAATTTAAATTCTCATTCTCATGTACTAAAAAAAATTAATTATCTACAAATTTGATCTTTATTTATATTTAAAACACAAACATTTTTTTGTTTTCGATATTTTTAGATTTTGAATTTGAAATTTTGAAATGCATAATTGCATCAAAATAAATATAAATATTTTATTTGAAGTTACAAACTCATTTCATTACTGTTTAACAAAAATTAAAACACGTAAAATATATTATATTATAAAACAATAATTATACAAAATCTATAACATAAATGAATTAATACTATTTTAGATTTAACTAAATACGTAGTCGATAGTTACCACTAGTTTACTAAACACACATCAAACAATTCTATAAATTTGAGATGCTATTTCAAATCTACTACAAAACACGTATTTAATAAATATTGAAATACAAATAATACAATTCTATTTTTTTTTATTGAATATCGTTTTCAGATAAGCAAATAATTGCACATTATTCTCTTGTTACCATATTCTAGGGGAGATGCGAAACATGAAAACAAAACAATATTATTGTTATTTTTAGAATAAAATAAATTAATTTTATTTATAATACGTACAATTAATTTATTTTAATTAAACCGATCTGATATAAAAGAAAGTTGAAAAAGAAAGAAAAGAAAAAAACCGATGCGATTATATTTTGATAAATTTATTTAAAAATAACAATGAAAACATTTAAAAGGTTCTGACAAGTGACAACTGCAAATTATAAAATGAATTAAACTAAAAATTTAAAATGCGAAGAGGCGAAGAGATCTTGTCAGGAAAAGAGAGGAAGAAGAAGGAAAAAAAAAGAGAAAAAGAAAGGAACGGAACAGTTATGCCAATTTAAAGGAAAACACGTAAAATCAATTTTAAATTATATAACGTAAAAAAAAAAAATCGATAATAAGAACGGGGGAAAACTGAAAAGCGATCAAATTATTTTTAGAATTAGAAAATACTCGAGAGAGTTGAGAGGGAACTCTGTTCGATTTCCCCTCATTTTGTTACCATTCGACCAAAGGAAAGAAGCAGGGATAATCTCGTCGAATTTCCAATTTTTTGGAGGAATCGTGCTCAGAGATCTATCTTATCACGGGGTTTCAATCCAATCGATCCACCTTCGAGTTAGATCCAACTGTGTTATCACCATCTGTTCGACCTTCCTCATCTCACAATGGATTCAGTGGAGGCAATCGAGGAGTTGGCTCAGCTGGCGGACTCGATGCGGCAAGCTGCGGCACTACTTGCCGACGAGGATATCGACGAAACGTCCACCTCCAGTACTTCCTCTCGCAGGCCTTCCACTTTCCTCAACGTCGTGGCCCTGGGGAATGTGGTAAGTTCACACTGTTCCGATTCGCGTTTCTCGGATTACATTTATACATTTTGTAGTTTTGGCATCTATTTACTATTTGCGCATGCATTGTTCATCAAATTCACGAAAAAATCACTCGAAGTGGCAGATCCTATCTGAACTGGATCTTAGAAATTCCGAAACTCAGGAATTTTTTAGATATGCACATCTCCAGTTATTGAGGTTGACGTACGATTATAATTGGAAGGAGACGTACCACTTCCTAGTGATCGGGACATCTGCACTATCGCAATGCCATTGAACATTCGTATCTGTTTCACGAAATCGTGATAATGGATTGCTACATCGATCTAATCTACATATTCCGTAACAATCCTGAAGCTATTGAAAACGCGTTGATCATTTCAGGGCACTGGCATTTGTAGTTTGCCAGACCACTTTGATGAAATTAGCTTGATTCGGTAAAATTTAATTTCTCAACAAGGTTGCTCGGTAGTGTTAAATTTTAGAGATCACTGGCGATGGAGTACTTGTTTCTGTATATTCTATATCTATCTAAGTTTCATGCCTAGTTGAAGGCATATAAGTGTAGCTTCTGAAACGTCCTGGAGGATAAAGCACATATTCAGTGGATCAATGAGTAGAGTAGTGCTGAAAGCACTTCACATAAATATGGAAATAAAATGACATGTTGTTTCAACCATCACTTGAAATTGAATTGGCCGTGGATATCATGCTCACTCTGTAATGGTTATATTGTTGTACTGTCTCAAGTTCTACATTTATTTCGATTTTCTGTGGTTTTGAACAATGGAAGGAGAATATCCAGTACTTTATTAACTGAACTTCTCATAATTAACTGGAAAGTGACAGCAAAACAAGCAGCCTATGGTTTTGATTGCATGATTGCATCTTGCTTCTGAAGTGCTTATGCACTACCATTAAAATTGTAGCACCTTAGTGTCTAAGATATAGCAAGGATTCTGATTTGTTTTTTTTTGTTATTATTTTTTTTCTTTCAGGGAGCTGGTAAATCTGCAGTTTTGAATAGCTTGATTGGACATCCTGTTTTGGTAAGTTGGACTTCACATGTTCTCAGAACCTACATTTAAGTTTCTACATATACAACCATACAAGTGCCAACATTAGGATCATTGCTTTACAAGCTTATATTTATTTTTTGGTTCCAGCCAACTGGTGAAAATGGTGCTACCAGGGCTCCCATAAGCATTGATTTACAGAGGGATGGCTCCTTGAGCAGCAAATCAATTATCTTGCAGATTGACAATAAGTCTCAGCCAGTTTCTGCAAGTTAGTGATTATAATGGATATCCCTCTTTGATTTTATCCATTAGTTACAGTTTTGTATTTATATTTTTTGTATGCTTTGATAAGTATTTCTACAAACTCCAATTGTTTCTTGAACTCCTTTTTCTTACTTTTCTATAGATTTATTTTCTAATTGAATTTGTTACTTTAAAATATTGAGCTGCTTTTTTAGTTATTATTTATTAACGCCAATTGGTGGTGAATGTGTTATCCTGTCTTTTGTATTCTTTCACGTTTTCCATGTTTTAAATGATCCGCTAACATTCTGTGAACTGATAGTGTAGTAGTACTAGATGGTACTTTTCTAGTGTCCAACTAATTTTCATTTTTTAATATGAAATGCAGGTGCTTTGCGACACTCCCTACAGGACAGATTGAGTAAAGGTTCCTCTGGCAAGAGCCGAGATGAAATCTATTTGAAGCTTCGCACTAGTACAGGTAGCTCATGAGTCCATGGCTAGTGGCTGACAATTTCTTTAGTTTATCAAGGATATAATTTAATGTGTATTCTGTGTGAGGTTGTCACATAAACATTCTATTAGAACCGAGCAGAAATAAGTTCAGTGGTAGTTTGAAGTACTTCCGCATGTGGTGGAATTGTGATGGACACTAGCATGTGCATGTTAGTATAACAGTATAGCTATCTTTTGGTCACTTATACTAGTGGTTAAGGGTGTGTTTGGAAGTGATTTTGGTATAACAATATAGATATCTTTTGGCCACTTCTACCAGTGTTGCCAAAATCAGTTTTGCCATTGCCAAAATCACTTCCATTTTCATTGATCATGCAAATTAAAAAATTGATTTTAGGAAGGTTTAAAATCATTTAAAATTAATTTTAAGGTATCACTTGGATGGTGATTTTGGAAAATCAATTGTAAGTCTCTTTTTTCAAAATCACTCATTTTATCCTAACTCCCAAACACACCCTAAATGTTTGAGAATTTGTTCAGAAGTAGTTTCATTTAGAGAATTTGTTCAGAAGTAGTTTCAAAGTTGTTTTCGTTTCATGAAATTGAAAATAGTTTTCTGATTCAGAAAATTGATTTTGGTGGTTGTTTTTTTGGATATAATTTTTCAGAAATAGAACAAACCTAATGGAAATTGAATATAAATGCAATACAAAATCTTGATTTTTTTAATGAACTTTTAGTGTCTAACAACTCAAATTTGCGATCATTATATATTTAACAAACAAAAACCAAAGAGAAATAAAGGTATTAGTACAAGAAATATCTTTCCAAGTAACTTATCCTTTAATGTCACTTATGTAATTAAGTTAACAATTCTTCCTCTCAGCGCCTCCGTTGAAATTGATTGATTTACCTGGGCTTGATCAGCGAAGCGTGAGTGAATCAATGGTAAGTGCAAATTACCATTCTGTAGTTGTCATCTATTCATTATCTCTTTTTCTTATTTCTTCTTTTGTACATTTGGCTGTAGAATGAATTCTTCGATAAATTTGTTAATAATTTCTAACGGTGAAACTTTAAAGCTGGGGTGCATTACTAGAGTACAAGTCAAACATATAATTAAGGCTCTTTTAGAAAAAATACACTAAATAGTTAAATGTGGAGAGTTCAATAATAAAGTTAAGTATTATCAAGTATAAGTAAAATAAACTGTCATTTGTTAAGTAAAATACACTAAATACTTAAGTATTATCCTTTCTTTTGAAAAAAAAGTATTATCCTTTCTTTAACTGTCATTTATGATAATTTTAGCATTGTCTTATATGTAGAAATCTCAACAATATTTTGTTTTGAATATCATTTTTTTTTGTTAATGTTGATTTAATTATTAATTTTTTCAAGATCCTCTGGTTTTTTAAAATTGCATCGAAAAACAAATCATATTATTTATGATTAGACATTATTAAGCATATGTTTCACTTATTATTGTTTTTAGAAAAAATAAAAAAGAATAAGTAGCTGACGAGCAATCCACAAATGTTCCTGGAGGGTAAGAAATTCTTAGGAAACTTTTTATAGCATAGAGGTGGATTTTTCATTTCTTTGTGATCGGATGAGGAAGATAATGGATAATGAGTTTTCTGTTTAAGAGGGAGTCAGTAATGTATTGAAGGGAAAACTGCCAAATAATTACAGAAGTATAAAAAAAGTGGGCTCGGAAAGTGGCATGCTAAGCTCAAAGGCTCGAAAAGGCAATTAGTGGACAGGGGCTCATTTAAAGCTAATTGGTAATTTGTAAACAATAGTGTATGTTTAAGTTAACAAATTAGGTAAGTCAGAGATTTCTGCTTACTCCAACAACTCTTGAAAATTCTATTTATTATTTTTTAAGTAAACCATGTATTATATAATGATAAATAAGTAAAGTAACTCATACAATACACAATGTGTAATCCTTAGAAGATGGTACACATTTTGATTGGCGATATATCAATCTTGTGTGGTCATTAAATTGAAATGCTCTTGGGTCGATGTATTGATTTTGATAACTTTTCTGTTTTGGTTAAGCAGTTTTGGTGATAATTTTTCTTGTATAGATTAGTGAATATGCTGAGCACAACGATGCCATTTTGCTAGTCATTGTGCCTGCCTCTCAAGCAGTCGAGATTGCTTCAACTCGTGCCCTCAGACTGGCAAAGGAGTATGATGGTGAAGGTAAATTTCAGTACCTGGGAAAATTAGGATTTATATGCAGTTTTGACTTGTCCTCTTAGGGAGAGGCCAGGGAGGGGGTAATTATGTTTTGTTTAAGCCTGTAGCTGCAATAAATCTCGTAACTATTGATTTTACTACTCTCGTGGTGTGAAATATAGGAATTTCCATGCAGCCTCCTTTCTCATTCTTAACTGTGTTTTCTTCCCTTCTTATTTGCACTTCACTACATTATTATGAAACATCTCCTCCTTCGCTGTTCATTCTTTTGTTAAACTGGAGAATATCATGTTGATTGCAGGGACCAGAACTATTGGGATAATTAGCAAAATAGATCAAGCTGCTTCAGATCAGAAATCTCTGGCTGCTGTTCAGGCTCTATTACTAAATCAAGGACCATCAAGAGCCTCAGATATACCATGGGTTGCTTTAATTGGTCAATCTGTTTCAATAGCTTCTGCACAGTCTGGATCTGTTGGCTCTGAGAATTCTTTGGAAACTGCCTGGAGGGCAGAGAGCGAAAGTCTGAAATCCATACTGACTGGAGCCCCTCAGAGTAAACTGGGTAGAATTGCTTTGGTGGATGCTTTGGCTCATCAAATACAGAACCGTATGAAAGTCAGACTTCCAAACCTATTATCTGGGTAAATTATTTTAGATGCTACATTATCAATGGTGTTCTTTAACCACAAACTTCTAAACTGCTTCTTGGATTACATTTATGTATGAGACGTGATGTCAAAATTTTCCAATTAAATTTGATCCAATTTCAGTTGCATTGCTAGGTCATATTAATTTGTACTATTATTTTATGTCAATGATTCTGCTGTTTTATATTAAAGAAAAAGCTTCCAACTTAGAATCTTTTGAAGCTTAAGAATTTTGGGTCTTGATAAGATTTGCATCTCTAAAGGCAGCTTCGCTTGTATTTGATTTTTGTAACTTTCAACTTTGTTGGATCCAACTAATTGAGGGGTTTTTTTTAAAATTATATAATAATAATAATTGTATTTTATTTTTATTTTAGTAATAAACAATATTTAATTTAAACTTTAACAAAGTGACTGTGGGTTATTAAATTGAAGCATGTGAGTGAGAGACCAATACACATAATGATAATATGTATTCTGGTCTTGCTCCATAGGGGATTTTGGTGTAGTTCTCTGTCAATTGGCTTCCTAGTTTCTATTTACTTCTTAATTTACTATATTCTAGGTTACAAGGAAAATCTCAGATTGTTCAAGATGAGTTATCGAGGCTTGGGGAGCAAGTGGACAGTGCTGAAGGGACAAGAGCTGTAGCATTGCAACTCTGCCGCGAGTTTGAGGATAAGTTTCTTCAGCACATTGCAACCGGTGAGGTGAGTGATTTTAGTTCTACACTTGGTTCTCTTTAATTGCTCTGGTGGAGGCCGATTTCTGGCTATTTTAGTAATATACATGTTAATTTCATTACTGTTGCAGCTTTACTTAACATGACTGGAAAAACTCTTTATCCAAAAAAAACATGACTGGAAAAACTCAAACTTCCTGGTCCGAACGAATTTGGAAACTATGATGTAATTTGCGATTTTCTTGCTTAATAAATAATGAGATGATCAAAGCTATTGGTTATGGACTGCTGCCTTTACTACTCTTACTCCACTCGCTTAGAAGTATGATTGTATTTTAGTTAACATACTCGATGGTTGAATGGTTTTCCTTCATCTCCATCCGTCTACCTCATCTCTCCATCTTTATCTGTATTCACTATTCATATATTTATGTATCAGTAAGAAACAATAACTGTCTCATTTTCTCTGTCTCTTTTGTTCTCCGGCCCTTGTCCTCCACAAAGACCTTCCTGTTTCTGCTTAAGGAATCTGAAAATGAAAAGGCTGCTTTCTCTGTTATACAAAGATGTCTTTTGGTGTACATTTGGCCGTGTTTCAACCAAGGCTTTTATTTATTACAAAAAGAGAGAAAAATCCCAAGCCCTGAGCTTAGTGTCATTTCTAGTCCGGTTTATGTTGTCATAGTTTCTTCCTTTCATCTTGTTAGTTTGTATAATAACCTATAAATTTATTCTTGGAATATAAATTAATACTTGATTCTGAATGATCATCCCAGTTCGTACATCGAAGTGGTGCACAATTTTTTTTATTAGTGGGGTTCAGTTGCTCATGATGATTTCTATTTCAGGGTGCTGGTTGGAAAATTGTTGCTAGTTTTGAGGGGAACTTTCCAAATAGAATCAAGCAGCTCCCTCTAGACAGACACTTTGACATTAATAATGTGAAGAGGGTATGTTTTCCTATGCCTCCTTTTCTCACCAGTTCTGTTCTTTGACATTGAATTTTTTGTTTTGCATTTAGGTTTTCTCTCTATGTTTTGTAACCTTTACTTATTTTCTTTTAATTATTTTGAAACAGATTGTGTTAGAAGCTGATGGTTATCAACCATATTTGATATCCCCTGAAAAGGGTTTGCGATCTCTAATAAAAGGTGTTTTAGAGCTTGCAAAAGAACCATCACGTCTCTGTGTTGATGAGGTAAACCATGCTGTGCTATACTGCTATGTTTCTTCACTTGGTTGCCCTTTTCCCTCTTCAGAAGAAAGTTTAATTCTCATGTCTACTAATTTGTATGTTAAAAGTCTATCATTTTCATATTTTTTGCTCTTCCATTGTCCATTAGGGATTTGAATTGCTCACCCGATTGCCAGACTTTTCTTTTTTGAAAAAAATATACAAGTTCGTTTGCATTTACCTTGCCAAATATGCAAAGGGTCATCTGCTCATCTTTATGTACTTTATCTTTTAGTTCATTTATTTTGATACTTATGGAGTTCTTGCTTTGCTGACAAAAAAGGTCCATCGCGTTCTAGTAGATATAGTTTCTGCTGCTGCAAATTCTACACCAGGTATTGGAAGATACCCTCCTTTCAAGAGAGAGGTATGACATTCAAATTTATTTAGTTTATAATAGTTTATAAGAGAAAATGGTACACATTTAACATGATCAAAACAGTGTCATTTCTTTGTGGCCTTTAGCCTCTAAATATTAAAAATGTTATCAACTTTATTGAAGATCGTGGCCATTGCAAGTGCTGCATTAGATGGATTTAAGAATGAAGCGAAGAAAATGGTAGTCGCACTTGTTGACATGGAGCGAGCTTTTGTGCCTCCACAACATTTTATTCGACTGGTACAAAGGAGGTACTTCTAATATGTTCTTTGACTTTTATATTAATTTCCTCAATTAGTAAACAATAATGATATTGAACATAAAAGATGCATGCATTGAAGGAGTGAATAAAGATAACTGTAACCAACCTTCCCCTAGTTTTTCCTCGACCCCCTTAGTGAAAATCTACTATTAAAAATTCGTATTCTAGCATTTAGTGGAATTAAACCATTTTTAATTGTATTTTGTATGAGTTAGAATGGAGAGGCAACGTCGAGAGGAGGAGGTGAAACACAAATCATCAAAGAGAGGGCAAGAGGCAGAGCAAGCCATATTAAACAGGGTATCTGTTCTCTTATGATAAGAATTACAGAAAATTAATATCGTGTTTGATATATGCTATGTGTTTATAATTGTGTTTATCTCATTTTTCTATCACGTCTCCACCTCATGGTCGCTATAAGCATCTTCCTTTTTCTTTCTTCCCCTTTTCTTTTTCCTCATTATTATTTTGGGTCAGGCAACTAGTCCTCAAACTAGTGGTCAGCAAAGTAGTGGAAGCCTGAAATCAATGAAGGAAAAACCAGGAAAAGAGGATAAAGAAGTACAGGAAACTTCTGGTTTGAAGACTGCAGGTCCAGAAGGGGAAATAACAGCAGGTACGTATATTTACTTTTATGAATTCTGCAAATTGTTAGTAGACCTCTCTGTTTCTATCTCATGCAATTGATGTCTGTTACTTTATTTAAATTTGTAATTTGCTTTATCTATTAAAAGAATACTGTGAACCATCATGGTGTGGCCTAGTGGTCAATAAAGGCCAATGTAAATAGCAATGGACTTAGAGGAAATGAGTTCAAACCATGATGGTCACCTATTTAGGATTTAATATCCTATGAGTTACCTAGGCAACCAAATGTAGTAGGGTCAGGCGGTTGTCCCGTGAGATTAGTTGAGCTGCGCGCAAGCTGGCCCCGACACTCGTGGATATAAAAAAAAAGAATCCCGTGCTGAACTTTTTGTTGGACCAGGAACCAAACTAGGAAAGCACTCAGAGTTATTAATTTGTGGTAGTAAATTTAATTTTGTCCCTGTGATTGGAATCGTCCAGGCCAAAATATGCTTTCAGACTCAAGTGTTAGGAAGTTTCTCTAAGTAGCTAATGCTTGAATTTGAAATTTTAAAAGGACTAAAAGTGGTTTCAAGGCTTTTTATCTTGAAATAATTGAGTCGCAAGTCTCAAAGCAATGGTATGAGGTGTGAGCCTCAATTTAAACAAAATAACGTAGATAAAATAACAAAAATGTATAGTCAAAGTATAACTAACCTTAATGATTATATGAATGTTAAGGAAAAAACTGTGATCTATCATGGTCACTTTCTTTTAAGTAAAGACTCTAAAGATGATCCTGAACATTATTATTTTGATCGATCATAGAATCATCCCATTCTTCAATTTTCGTCTTTAATGTTTCTTTTAGTGTTGTAATAGGCTGAATTACCCCAACTATGGTATATTACATTGCATCGGGAACTTTTATAATTTTGGAGAAGGAGCAGCAGATTGACATTATTCTATTATTCTAGTCATTTTATGAGGCCAAAAGACAACTATGCGGGCCTCCTCGATATTCTTTGAAGCTAAAATTTGAGCCTTGCTTAAAAAGACGAGTGTCAGTGCGTAACCCTTAAAAGCTTTTTAAAACATTGTTGATCTAACTTCTCATTTGAATAGTGTTGGTCAGATAATGCTTTGTTCGGATAAATATTTCTTTTCTTTTATTGTGAGGTCGAACTCAAAATCTTAAGAATGTGTTGGATGTTGAAGGTTTACATTATCCAAGGACTAGAACATCGGAGTCCGGTTCTTGATGAGGTATTTGTTTTAGTTACTATGATTATACCAGTTAACTTTGAAATTTTCTAATATTTTAGGTTTTCTGTTGAAGAAAAGCGCTAAGACAAATGGATGGAGTAAAAGATGGTTTGTTCTAAATGAGAAGACGGGAAAGGTATGTGTCATTTTATTCTATAATTTCAAGTAGCTATTATGTGTCATTTCTTTTTGAGTCAAACAATTGTGGGGTGGGATGGACCATCAAACTTAGGGATAGTAATAGGTGCCTTCACTTGAGCTATATGCTCGGATTAGTGCTTTTACGTGCAAATTTGACGGCTAAAGAACGTTCATGTTAGATTTCTATCTTCTATCATTCTTTTTGACATGTACATAATTTAAATTGGACTCCGACTCATACATGATGTTGCAATGTCAAGTATTCTGCTTATCATGTCACCTTCTGTTATGAAAAAAAAAAACAATTGGGCGTATAATAGTTTATGAAGTCTTATCGACGAGTACTAGTTAAATTATATCGATATAAAATTCCAATATTCATTTCCCCTTTGTTATGATTATTATGCAATAGCGGCAAATGTCTAGGTGATAATATTTTGATTTATCTGCAAAGAAATGTTCTAATTTTCTAATAAGATGCTCTAGTACTCTGTTAGCTTCTTTATCTTCCACCGGTATGTCTCATCCTGTTGCTTCATGTCTTGAGAAATTTTGTGGGTACTCAACCACTTTGGAATTGCGTTGAAGATGCAAGATGCTTGTAGCTGCATACTATCCTTAGTTTTAAGATTGCTTCCTGTATTAGCATGTCTAGCTTCTGATCTGGGCCGAATTACAAAAGAGAATCTGTGTACTTTTGTGTAACCATTGCTGATTATCTGTCATTTCTTCATCTCACTTGTGCTTGAAGAATGGCTCTTACAATTTGTCCTTTCCTATGTCAGCTTGGTTACACTAAGAAGCAAGAGGAGAGACATTTCCGTGGTGTGATCACTTTGGAGGTATGAAGAACCATCAGTGCTAGAGAATGTAAATTTTTCTAGTTGTGATTATGTTAATTTTCAAATGACATGGACACTTCGCTAACATATTTCTGTGGTATTTTTTGTTCTGGGGAAGGAATGCGAAACTCAACTTTTCATTGAGATCTCTTAGTTCATTGAGCATGTGCATTTAACTATCAATATTCAAATTTTGGAACCCATTTTCTCTTGACCAAGATACAAGCGTCAATAAATTTTGGAGTAATGAAACTGTGTTATATCAAATGCAAAAGCATTTCGATACTTCTCAATATTTTACGTTGTCAAAGGCTTACAACTATTATAATTTATCACATAAGATAACCAAAGACGATAAGTTATGGACGTAGTTGTGTTTACTAAAACTGTTAAGAAAACCATGTTTTATTATAAATGTTCAAACTACAGTATCTTTTGCTAGTAACATCATTTTTGAAGGATATTGTAGAATATATAATATATATAAAAGATAGCTTTTTTATTAATGAAATGAAAGAATACAATAGAAGGGGGAGAGTTGGGAATCCATCTGCAAAGGCTGACTTAACCAAGTGGTCCAAGTTACAAACATGCTTCCTAGTTAGCTATCATAGAACTAAGATTATATTTACAAAAAGGAAGTTACCCTCTGACCTGAAAACTATAATTTATTTCTGGTCAAAGCTGCCAAATTTTTGGATGGATATTATCCATTTTTATTTATACTCTTCTTTCGTCTCTGTTTTAATGTTACTATGGGATGTAGAATTGGTTATGTTGCATATATTTATCGTTCTATGCTCTGGGGTGATAAGCAGATCATTGTCTTGTGATTAACATAATGAATATTTAAATGTGAGAGTTTATTTATTTTTAATTTTTTTTTAAATATCAAAATGTGAGAGTTACTGTGTTATCTGATGGAGGGGAAATTTTATAGAAATTCAGAGAAGTTTTATGAAGCAATGATATCTGGTTCGAACGAAGCCATATCAATACGTTGTGTTACGCGTTTTGTTATCCATGAAAAATTTGTTTCTTGTTAAAAAAAATGTTATGTTTTGTTTGCAGGAATGTAATATCGAAGAGGTTTCAGAAGAGGATGAACCTCCTTCAAAGGGTTCAAAGGATAAGAAAGCTAATGGACCAGATTCTGGAAAAGGTCTCGTGTTCAAGATCACTAGCAAGGTTGCATATAAAACTGTTCTTAAAGGTTTGTTCTCTGTTGATTGTTCCAGTTACTTGGCAATTTGCTATTGGTCCTTCTACCTTATTATGTTATGTTTTGTTATTAAAATACCACCGTAAGAGAGAAGTACGAGAGGGGAAGGTGAAACATCCTCCCGACCTACAAAATTATAAGGAGGCTACAGAAAATCCTCTAATTGGTGGTGATCCATGTAAACTAACCACTATTTTGTCTCAAAGAGCATCCTTTTCCTTAGATAATCTCCATTGCAATTAGGTTCTGGGATGTTTACCGGAGCCTATGTTAACTTGTTTTTGTGCTGCAACTCCTTCTCTTTGCAGCACATAACGCTGTTGTCTTGAAGGCTGAAAGTATGGCAGACAAGGTTGAATGGTTGAATAAAATACGAAATGTTATTCAACCGTACAGAGGACAGATAAAGGGCCCTGAAAGTGGTCTTCACATGCGGCAGAGTCTTTCTGATGGTTCTCTTGTAAGTTACCAACTTGCATCCATTTCTTTGTAGCAAGTTTCTGGATGATAACGAGTACTTCAGAGGATTCATCATGTTATTACAGTTTTTGCTTTATAAGATCTTGTTTCATAATTGTCAAATCGTTGATTTTCAATCGCAAATTAGAAAACTGCTCAATTGGAAAAACAAGCTATTGATTAAAAACTTGATTTTTCTGGATCAAGGATACGATGGCTAGAAAACCTGTTGATCCTGAAGAAGAACTACGGTGGATGTCCCAAGAAGTACGTGGTTATGTTGAAGCTGTTTTGAACAGTTTGGCTGCCAATGTCCCAAAAGTAAGCTTCAGCAAAATCACTTTACACTGTTTTTTAGTACGCCACTCTATGCCATATAATGGGTTTAATATAATACCTTGCTGGTTGATTGATTGAACTGAGCAGGCAGTTGTCCTCTGCCAAGTTGAGAAAGCCAAGGAAGATATGCTGAATCAGTTGTATAGTTCGATCAGGTTGAATCCAATTCTGCTTAATTGTTTGGGGCATTTGTTAATATTTGTATGACATGACATACCATTACTTATTCACCTTCTGTTTATATAGATGACCTGGGATGGTATATTCCTAGTCAGTTAAATGCCAGATGATTGAGACAGTTCTGTTCTCAGATCTAATATGTTAACGATTTAGAAATTTTTTTATTCTTTTTCGGTAGTGCTCAAAGCACAACAAGGATAGAGGAGCTGCTTCTCGAGGATCACAATGTTAAGAATAAGAGAGAGCGATGCCAAAAACAATCATCTCTTCTTTCCAAATTGCTACGTCAACTCAGCGTACATGACAACCGAGCAGCTGCTGCAGCCAACTGGTCTGACAGTGGTGCAGGTATGCAATTGGTGGCTTTTATTCATGCTGTTTCCTATATATCTTACCATTGAGCTTGAGTTTAATTTTCTTTTCCATTGAGCTAGACTTTTATATAAATGTTTATCTTTGCAGAAAGCAGTCCGAGAACGAGTGCTCCATCAGGTGAAGATTGGAAATCTGCCTTTGATGCTGCAGCTAATGCTCCTGCAAACTACAACAGATCTTCTTCCAATGGTCACAGTCGGCGTTACAGTGATCCAGATCAAAATGGGGATTTGAACTCGCGTTCCAGCTCGAACAGTCGCCGTACTCCAAACCGAATGCCTCCTGCCCCACCATCTGCTTCTTCTGGTTCAAAATACTATTAGTTGGACTGAGTTTATACTATTGACATTTTCTTATCTTCACCAATATTTTTTGTTGGGTGACGCCAATGCACACCAGAGTTTGGGTACCCACACCCAGTCTTCTCATATATTCATATGTTTCTACTAGTCCAGCATTACCGGGGGAACAGTAGATTACCTTTGGAACTTGGAAAGAAGGATGGCGTGTACATATAGAAATCCAATTTTCATTGGCTTCTGAAGATCGGCCCCGTCCCGCCGCCATGGCAACGTTGCAATGTTGGACTCAAAAGTATCCTTGAAATCCATCAATATATTTCCTTTCACATTCGTTTTCCTGCCTTGAGATTTTGTTTTCTTTCATTATTGTTGCACCCATTTTTGAACACTAATGTATTTGTCTGTGGTGATAGTGATCCTTTCTCAAAATGCACTTCCTATATTGGCATTGTAACATTTGTATACTTGATTCAAAATAGAGGAGATTGGTAATTCTCAAACGTACTGGTTTTTATGGGTTTAAATATTGCGCAATTGCTTGGATTCTTGCCCCTTGTGATATTGTTTTGGGTAAATTTTCCTCTGCAAGGATAATGTCGTGATTGTGATGGTGATAGATGTTGGTTTGCCATAATTCATTCTTTCTTAACTTGAACCTAGTTCCACGAGGTTATGTATCAAAGGAATCTTGTAACATAACATTAACATTTAAGCAGCCTAGGCTTCTTAAACTTGCATTCTAGGTATAGGTTATTTCAAAAGTAGATGGTATGGTATTGCAAGCATTGTGTTCAATCTCTTTCTTACCTTCACTAGTAAAAATGTGAAAGTGTGGGTACATTACTCGCCAAGACAACTAAAAAAGTATGAAAATGATGATGCTACAGCTTAGCAGCAAGAAAATCCAGGAAGTATTCATACAAAATTTCCCAGATTTGCTCCTCCTTTCCATACTTGTTACTGTATAAACACTAACCACCATATCTACGAACAGCCTCGTAAAAACAAACAATAAAAAAATCATACATACAAAGACCACCGCAGCGCCTTGGTCCTCTAGAGAAGTCTGTTTCTCCCGAACCTTCTCGACCTCGGATCTGCAGACAAGAAACACTCCCCTTAGAATCCATACCCACAATGGTCTTCTTTATCACAAATAGATTTTGATTTACGAAATAATGATTTCAGAAATAGTATGGCAAAATCAAAACTAAGCTCGTATTTACCAAGTCCATATCTATGTTCCTTGAACATGATTGATAGTAACTCAGTTTCACTATGCGGACAAATATTGATAAATCAGGTATGCTAGACGCGTGATTTTCTAGAGCTCACGCCTAATAAAAACTTCTGCAGAGACTAGCAACGTCAGATTGCTGAACTTGATTATCATGAGCTTATTCATTATGTTAAAATCCATCAACCTTTGCTTCTCTCCTACCATATATGGCTCTGTAATAGTTTTCTAACTATCACTTTCATGTCCACCTTTTCAAAAGGAAAGAAGAATAAGAAGAAAAATACGAAGTCTGATCTGAAATTTTTTTTACCAAAAGACCAAATTACTCTACAAATTATTTTATGGTTCAGAGATATATATGTGTGCGGTGAAGCAAGGGTTAACCTGAGAATAGCATTGTTTCTGAGTAGATTATCCAACTGCAGAGAAATAAGGGTCGTCCAGGAAATGAGATCACTAACATCTTTATCCTGCAAAGAAAATATTTGTTATGAGGATTATATGGTTGCTAATGTTAAACATACAGGTTGCGTCTATGTTACCGAGACAAAAATTAAAAAAACGTTATGATAGTTAATCTTCATAATAACCCAAAATTATGTAGAGGTAAGAATTTAACATACAGTAGCTTCCTGGCTTCTGAGGAGATTCCTTATGTCTTCTTGACTCTTTTCTAGAAGCACGTCATTTTCTCTAATATCGTCATCAAACTGTTTGAAAATATTTCCATATTTGGAATTTAGTTCTTCCAAATACCGCTCCAATATAGATAAATTTAAATCAGAGGACCGAACTTTGTGCATTAGTATCTTAAGGACAGTGTCCCCAGGCATCCTGCCTGCTTGATGGTGGCGCAGTTCTTGAAACCGATCAGGCAAATCTCGAATAACAATTTCTTGGACAATATCAGCATCATCTCTTATAGAGGATATTTCTCCATCATCATTATGACGTTCACTGTTGGACTTTGCCATTGGTTCATCGTCAGCAGAAAGTTCTGTTGATATAAAAGAAGTATCATGGACAGAAACTAAATCCTCCAGCATTTCCTCAACAGCATCCACTCCATAAACTTCAAAAACACTCAGTGTACAGTAGAATTCTGAACCATGATGACTCGAAAGTCTTAACTTCAGGTACCGCACCCATTTCGGCTCCTCTAGGACAAACCTTTGAGCATACTTTGCATTTGCAGCTGTAAAGTTTCCAAGCTTCACCCAAACATCCGTAGGATAAACTGAACTTCCTAGCACCTCAAATTCCTTCAAATTGGAAGAGTGGTGCTCAAAATTAGCAATTTTAATTGTACGCACTAAGGTTTCTTCAGAAAGTTCCAAGGCAACAAATTTTTCCTCAGCAGAACATGGATTTCTGAGGTACTTGTCCGTGTCCCTTTCTAATATATCTGAGGCTCCCTTGGCTTCCTTGTTAAAACCCAATACCTTTGCCCCCTTTGAAGCAGCTGCATAATTGTATTCTGCACCCCCAGGCTCTAGCCTATGCATAGTACTTTCCACTTGATCAGCTCTAGTTTTGGTTTTGGAGATAAATGCTCTGCTTTTGAAAACTTCGAGACCAAGGGGTAAAACTTGAGATAGGCGATCAGCCTTTAGAGAAACACTTTTTAAATTCCCTCCTAAACCATATTTCTCCTCATCGGGATGCTCTCTAAAAGCAAGAAAATGATGTACATTCTCATCAAAATTGACATTGTTTACATTTTCTTCTTGAGCAAAGATATCATCGTCAAAGCCTCTAGATTTTGCACTGTCTATGAAGCAATCCTTTAAAGGGACAAATGAACCATTTTTATTCTGATGACTTTCATTAATTATATCAGAATGCTTGTAATTTGCATACTTGGATTCGTTCCAAGTTGATATGCTATCTGGTAGTGCAGTACAACCATCTAAATAACAAATAGAGAGTCAAGCATAAGTGGTTATTCAAATACACGACCGAGTCAAAAGAGGAAGTGCAATCTGCAATATTCCATGTAAAGGAATAATAGAGTTCAAAACAACATCTGCAGACTTCAAATCCCCAGAGAAGATGTGTTGGCATTGCATCATAAATTCTCTCCCAGAGTATAACAATTCTAATCTCATTGTCTTAAAATTACTTCTTTGAGGTAACTATAAATTCGAGCTTTTATCTACTAGTATTGTTTTAGCAGAAACAATTGACCCTTGTTTCCTAGAAACTGTCACAATTTATAGACAATCATAAGGTCCACCCTAGTTAGAAATCTGAACTCCAAAAATAAAAACAAGAAAAGAACGGCAAAGTCATTTCTGAAACCAACAAACAAGCTGGCCCGAGGAGAAACCCAAATATTTATCAACGATGCAAATAAATCAGGCTCACTTTTTAATAGGAAAAATAAAGGGGAGGCCATTACCATGAAATAAATTTATCAGGTCTAATATGCTCGATTTCTGTATCTTGTGTAAAAAGAATTTCAATCAAACTGAAAAACCTAATGGTGACATCTCAATATAAAGAAAACGTATGCTCATAATCTGAAAAAAAATAACAGTGAAATTCCTTAAAGTAGATTTTCAGATCCTTGTAAATAAGAAGAGATATAAAGAAAATTCAGTTAGATGCTGACCTGTACGGCCTTTGCCCTGTCTGATCCATAAGCTAAACAGGAAGAAAAGCCCCCACAAAACAAGAAGTATAGACAGAGAAAACAGATACAAGCGGTTCCTCCCACTGGTAGTTTTCTCCAATGCTCTTCTCTGAAGAAGAGCTCTACGTGACCGCTGCATCTCACATCAATTCAGGCTACTAATCATCCAGTGCCTATGGCTAAGCAAATAGGAAAAGGAGTATGCTGCACCAAATAAACCATGAGCTCCCATTGATTCTCACTTCCCAAATATACGAGGCATAAAATAGAATCATTCAGATGTCACAAAAATGTGAAGATTACTTATGAATAAATATTCTATCCAAGCATGTTACAGCAGATTGTTGTCTACTTCAAGTCACCCATTAGATAAAGAAAGCGGTAGCTCTTGTAATGGCTCCGTACATTCACACTTGAGAAGAAACATAAGCAGATTTTTTTTTGCTTACACAAACAACGAGAAAAACAGGATTTTAAATAATGTATGGCGCTACAAGATTCAGCAGAAATATAACACATCATCAATAGCCAGTCTTCAAAATTTCAGCGGCAACAGTTAATAGCAAAATTTAATTTCTAAATCAATGATCATGTCTAAAGAAATAATGAAAACTGGCCCTCATACAATAGAAATGCCTAGAAGACTCGATTTTAGAAATCCGATACATGCTTCTTTCTTAATGATGATCCATCCAAGAGCAAGACCCACTCAGTTTAATGAAAATGAAAAATCTCGATAAAATAAATGAAGATCTTGGCAGCTAAGCAAACACCACCTTTTTTGGCAAAAGAAACACCGTCCCACCAAAACCGGATGGTGTCGTGGCGACATCTAACAGGAATACCTAAAGTAAAGGAGCGAGATCAAACAGTAGACCTTCCAGATGATAATAACCAGGTTTTGATGGTGTCGGCAAGCCAATTGAATTAGCAAACATTACTTAATTTCATCAAGTAATGTCGCAAATAGTGAGAAAAATTCACAAGAAGTTCAAAACCAGATCACAGATTGATTGGGAAGAAAATTTAAGGGGAAAAAAGTAGAGAAATCGATGAGTTGATAAAAATGTAGTGAGAGGAATTGCATGCGAACCTTGAAGTGCGATCGGCATGGGGAATCTGGAAAGGAGAAGCAGTAAAAGAAGGGAAGAAGAAACAGAGTGAATGAGTAGTGAGGATTGAGTAAAGGGAATGGGATTGAGAGAAAGAGAAGAAAGCGCGTGAAAAACATACATGGTTGAAGGAGAAGATTAGCGTATACGCCGCGTCGTGAAGGCGTTTCATGATCATAGACTTCAATTTGGTTTGCAAAACGGCTCCACTTTCCACAATTTCAAATCCAAAACTCTCTCTCACCTTGGAATGCCTTCTATATTGTTCATCTCTCTCTCTCTCTAACTTCAAAAACTATGAAGAAAATACAGTTTCCCTCCATATGTAAGCACCGCTCAACTCAACTCTTTCCCACCAAATTAGATCAAATTTTATTCTAAATTTTTTATTTTATGATTTTTAGTTTGTAAAACATACATAACTTTATTCTATTTTAACTTATTTTTATTTTATTTTATTTTGAATAACATAACTTCATATATATTTTTAACTTTCAATTTAAAATCTTGTGTTATTATTCTTCCAAAAAAAAATAAAAAATAAAAAAATTCCAGGCCCACTCACAAAGTCACAAGTACACTATATATTTTTTATTTGTTTAAATAGAAGTATAAAATCCCAAATGACATCATCGCAGCTCACTGACAGCCAATCAAAATCTGACAATTACAACGTAATCTGAGGTGGCAAAGCCGCAAAAGCCTCAACTAATGAATTATGTAAATTGTATTGAAAATTTGGAATAAATTTTTTTAATTTTATTTCTTGTATTATGTTTCCGATAAAACATATATATAATTTGAAATTTAAGAAAAATAAAAAATAAAAAAGGCTATAAAACACATTTCTATTTTTCTAATATTACCAAAATGTTTTTGATTTCTTCTAAAAAATAAAAGAAAAGAAACAAAAAATAAGAAAAAACCAAATGTTAAGAGGGCTTGTTTTCTATTTCTTATTCTTCATTTTTAAGAAAGAAAAACAAATATGTGTTTTTCTAATTGTTTCACATTTCTAGTTTTTTTATTTAAATAGAAATTGAAATAGGTTGGATAACCATTTCTAATTTATTGTTCCTAAAATTTTAAATTTTAAATTTTACTTGAAATTTATTTTTTTTAAAAAAATATGAATTAAAAAGAAATCAATTTGTTTTTTCAGGTATATACCAAAGCAAGAACATTATCAAAAGGGTAGGTGTAGCTACTAGCCAGTGGTCAAAAAAGAGGACGCCTATTGTTGAATTATTTTCGCAATGACCCATTTTAATAAATGACAATATTTTTTTCTTTCTATTTTTTTCCATGTAGGGGTAGGATTTGAATCCCAATCTGTTCATTGGTAACATACGTCTTTTAACTAAGTTTAAATTTGTTAAGATTGATTTAAAAAAATAGACAGTTAGGATCAACAAAGTAATGAGTTTAAAAAAATTATCCTCTGCAACAGTAGCCTTGAGTTTGGTTTAAAGAAAAGACAAAATAAAAACAGGGCAAAAAGCAGAAACTCAAACTTTCAATGAAGACAAATCATGGAGCTCCACAATATCCCTTTCTCTACCATATAGGAGCGGAGCCTATCAGAAATATTCCAGAAATGAGTGGATCTCCCATTACCAATTTCGCAGTAAATAACTCTTTCTTTTTTTTAGTACAATATGTGGGGGTGGGGAATCAAACTCACAACCTTTTTGTTGGAGATATATGTCAATTACCACTGAACTATGTTCACTTTGACTATCTTTATCCGATTTACTACATATAAATTCTCACTATAAAATTGGAATCGGTTATAGGAATATACACATACTTAGAATGATCCCAATACTAACTAACATAACTATCTACACAGCCTAAAAACTGCAGTAGTCTGTTTTTTCCGGACAGCAGTCGGCTATAGAAAGAAATTACCTTTTTGATGCCTCTTCTTATTGTTGGAAGTGATGGCGCTAATATTCACTCTAAATTTTAGAATATTGAAGAGAAGGGACTTCTCTTCTCTTACAAAAGCCAAGAACACATAAGAGAAGAGAAGAGAAGAGAAAATTGTTGTCTTGAATAACCATCTTAATCTACTTTATATGCTTTCCTTAAATGGCTTGATTACAATTACAGAGGAGGGAAATGAGTCCTTTTTATACTACTCCAAAAGATATTTAAAAAAGACACAAAATAAATGGGTATATCTACACATACCATTCATGTACCATAATTAATTTAAAATTCATGAACCAAGGAATGCATCATGCATCTACCTTGGATTCTATCACTTACCACCAAAATTGGAAAGAAAATTTTGTGTCTATCATATCTAAAAAATACTATCATTATCATTTTTTTTATAACTAGAAGTGGGAGCTTAGCTCCCTTACACCTGGGGGTATCCACGCCTGCTCCAAGGCTCGGACTCAGGAGACATCAAAGATTTTTGGTATTAAGCTTATCAAAAGGTTCAAACTAGAGACCTCTAAACCAGCGTGACCAAGAGACCTCACGCTTTTACCAACTGGGCTGCTCCTTGGGGGCTACAAAATACTATCATCTAGGAAAAAGTTTCTTTTGGTATAATACAAGCTTATCCTCCAGGAAAAAAAAACAGAATTATGGAAGTAAATCAAATCTGAGAATAACAAAGTTTCGAAAAGATAAATGTTAAGGGAAGATTGAATTACCGACCAAGGAGATAGATTCTGTTAGAGCATGTTTCCATCTTTGTATTCATGCTTCTCATCATAAACAGTCTACTTAATGCTTGCCTGGTTCTCCTCATAATCAAAAAAGGCTTCAAGTCCTTTGCATAGCAAATAGCAATGCCACATGATCATGAAGATGGCTAATAAAGTTATTTCTTACCTTAGACCTTGAAAACTGAAGAATGAATGCATCATGCGTAGAATGAATATAATCCCAGTAGAAATAACTTGAGATTTGAGAAGACAGACAAGATTCAGCCATTTGAAGAGCAACATGTTTAAGTTGATAAGCCGTAGATGAAAATTTAGACACCTAGCAGATAATGTAATACATGCTTTCAACAGTCAAAGCTGCTACCGACACCCCACGTTCCCCCTTCAAGAAATGCGCACCTTTATTTTCCCGCACGGCGCGCTCCCACTTTCAGCTTCATCCTCCAACGAAATCCAATGGACCCTTCTCTTCTCCGCCTTCCACTTTGGCTCCTGTTCATCTTGAACCTCGCCGCCGCCTGCCATGTGGGCGACCAAAATGCTCTTCTGGCTTTCAAATCCGCCATTACTGCGGACCCCTCCGGGATTTTAAGCTCATGGAAGCCCGGCGTCGACTGCTGCAGTTGGGCCGGAATCAGTTGCTCGGAAACCAATCGGGTCACCAGTCTCAGCCTCTACGGCCAACTTGACCAGCCCAACAGCTTCCTCTCCGGCACCATCTCCGAATCTCTCTCGAAGCTCACTTACTTGGACGGAATCTACTTCCAGAACCTCCGGAATATTTACGGTCCTTTTCCACCTCCACTTTTCAAACTCCCCAAACTCCTCTTCGTCTACATCGAGAACAGCAAGCTTTCCGGTCAATTACCAGCCGCAATCGGGAATTTGAGCCAACTCGAGGCACTGAGTCTTGAAGGCAACAGATTCACTGGGCCGATTCCCAGTTCAGTTTCCAAATTGACTCGGTTGACTCAGCTCAAACTCGGTAGCAACCTTCTCACCGGATCCATACCGCTTGGAATCCAGCAGCTCAAAAGCCTGACGTTCCTCAGCCTCGAGAGGAATCGATTCACCGGTCCCGTTCCGGATTTTTGGGGCTCTTTTCCGGAATTGAGGATTCTCAGACTTTCCCACAATAAACTTACGGGGAAATTTCCGCGCTCGATTTCAGCTCTGGCGCCAAAGCTCAGCTACCTGGAGCTAGGGCACAATTCGCTGACAGGTAATATCCCTGATTTTCTCGGAAATTTTAGGGCACTGGATACCTTAGATCTCTCCTCCAACTACATCTCTGGAGTTGTGCCAAAAAGCTTCAGGAATTTGACGAAAATATTCAACCTCGATCTGTCTCGCAATTCGCTTGTGGATCCGTTCCCGGAGTTGTTGGTGAAAGGAATCGAGTCGCTGGATTTGTCGTACAACAACTTCCACCTCGGAAAAATTCCGAAATGGGTGACGTCGTCGCCGATAATCTACTCTTTGAAGTTGGCCAAATGCGGGATCAAAATGAAGCTGGACGATTGGAAGCCCAGTGAAACGTATTTCTACGATTACATCGACCTTTCGGAGAACGAGATTTCGGGCAGTCCAGTTGGATTGTTGAACCGGACGGATTACTTGGTGGGATTTTGGGCTTCCGGAAACAAGTTGAACTTTAAGCTGCAGGATTTGAGGATAGTGAAGACCTTGAAATACTTGGATTTGTCCAGAAATTCGGTGTCCGGCAAAGTCCCCGGCGGCGTGGTAGGGCTCCAGAAACTCAACGTCAGCAATAATCATCTGTGCGGCCGGATTCCGGCAACGAAGTTCCCTGCGACGTCGTTTTCGGGAAATGATTGCTTGTGCGGCCCGCCGCTGCCGCCCTGCAAATGAACGTCGCAATCTACTCATTATGCATATGCTTCGATAACCTCTCTGTCTACGGTGGACTGAGGACGACGGAGACGACAGTCGAATGCTAATGCGACATGTAGTTTTAGACATCCCTCACCAGTCACACGCTCACTAAATGGCACCGCATGCGTTAAAACTTAAACGCGCACTGGAATTATGTCGGAAGAAATCTAATCATGATGATATTAATAATAACAATAAAACAAGGTACAAAATCTAACTATTATTATTATTTTGGTGTAGTCGTAAACTTTTAAAAGTAACTGTTTAGTTTCTAAAATAAATTAAATGTGGTATGGTGGGTTGGTTCAACATCGGTTTAATTTGGTATAAATTTACAATGGTTTAGGAATTAAAAAAGAAGAAGAATGAACTTTGTTAAGAGGAACATGCTCCTCTAATTCCATCTTTCTCACCCTTGATGAAATAGAGCTCGCCGTCTCTAGACTCCCACGATGTGAACATGGTGTTGATGGTGATAAACATTCTATTAATAGCTTTCGTGATTGTTCGGATTCTGGAAAGGCGATTGGAAGAACTTCATCGAGCCAATATTAATATGTATGGGGTTTAATCTCCGAATGAATTGATAATAAGAAAAGTAGCTCATGTTTATTATAAACCATCCCTTATCTTTTCAATATGAGATTTCTAACATGCCCCCTCAAGATCGTGGCTTTTTTGGCTAATCAATCTTGGCCAGATCCCATTTTTGGATTAGATGCTCGTTTGAGCTTTTTGGGCTATGATGATTCCATCTCAAAACCAATTGGTAATGAGAGGAGTACCCTATGTCTATTATAAACCCTTGTAAGGTCACTTATCTTTTAAATATGGAATCCTCGGACGATTTAAAATACGAATCGAGATTCTTCCCACAGAGTAGCGGACGTGTTAGGGAAGCTCTTGGAATAGTGACCTTTCAAAGGGTTTGCAGCTACACGAATTAGGGAAGCTCAGCGCATCTCTGGTTTACGCAAGCTACATCAGCTATGAAGTCGTATCGGCAATGGTGGAAGAGGTTTGGAATATGTTCCTCTTTGAATAATTTCTTATTTTTTGAACCCTAAACCATTTTAAATTGGAAGCAACTCGCCACATTTGTACACATGAATCCAATTGTTACTTCTTTGTCAGCCCTTTTCCCTTCTTCTTGACCTCCCCATAGTTGTAACACTCAGCCCCATGTCCCCCTGTGTAGTGTCTACTACCACAAATCCTTCTACACTTCCTCATTATCGACCACCCATTCTTCTCTTCTTTAATTCCTCCCACTTGTGATGTATGCTTACCACATGCAAATGCGATCTAAGTCTGGCATGCCATTTATTCTCGAGATCAGCTTGCTGATTTATTTAAAGTTTAAACCAACTCCTGTTGTTAAGATAAACCATTACATTGATTTACTGTCCTGTAATGGTCTGTTAGTAATTGTTTGTTAAAACTAACAGTGTATAACCAATTTAGTTTACTAATCTCTTTCTGTTAAAGGCACAATGCTTATATATTTGTAACCTCAGTACTCAATTCTTTTCTGGAGAAGTTAATGAGAAAGGGCTGAGATGTTGAAATTTCATTTTCTGTGACCTGCCAACAACCTATGTTTGCATTACATTACTAAAAACCAAAAAAAAAAAAAAAAACTACATCTACTAGGATAAAAGAGATTAAGACTGACCTAATCTAACCAAAATATTATAATTAAATAATGAGATACAACCCTTGTATTATAGTTAGTTCAGCATCAAAATATATCGATATTTAAACATAATATTGTACAACAATTTCACTCCAAAATACATGCTTTCCATTAATTTACAGTTCACACTTACCTATATTATTGTATGATACACACGCAAGATCTCAACAACTAGCAACAGTTAAAATTTTCAATGAATACAACTAGTTTCATTTAATACTTATGGAAACCCAAGAGTTTGTACCTACACGAATTAGGGAAGCTCTCACCACAGGCACTCCGAGAAGGGGTCTCACCCATTTTGCAAATAGTGCCACCTTCTACGAAAAGTTGTAAATGAATATTATCATTATATTATTTAAACATGTTTTGCAAAGTATATGAAATGGATTTATATGTCAAACTCAAGAACTATAATCAAAATTTACATTTACACCACAAGATTTATGCTACGCTCGACTCCAAGAAGAGGGGAATAATAATTTTTTTTTCTTAATTGTTGATATTTATTTTACTTTCTGTTAACTATAACTTCTCAATAATGAACTAAATTTTCTCAATAAAAATGAAAAATACAAATGCAAACCATTCTAAGTCGAAACACAGGTAAAAGAGGAAGTTGGGTTTATAGTTAACAGAGAGATTATGATTGGTGTTTAGAAATATAATGATACTAACCAAATTAAAGCACGCGATGGAGTCGATATTGATGATGGAAATACAGCTAACGATGAGGAGTTGAAATTAGTAGGCTGTGTTTTTTCTTCCACTTTTACCAAGCGAACTGCACACTTTTTCACCTTTACAGGAGCATGAGAACATTCGAAATACGCACTGAACTTGAATAAACCTTCAATGTGATTGCAATTCTTGGGCCAATGAGTTTCAACACTGTCACACGTCGATACAAACCCAAAAACAACATGATCTTCTTCAAAGGAGACCTTGTTTCCTCTCCCACTAAAGAAACAGGCCTGTGATTAGGAATTGGATCAATTTAGATAAAACATAATAACTTAACTTATTTATACTAATATATATAAACTCAAATTATAATTCAAATAACAGAGCAATGACCTTACTTCGTTTACTCCTCCACGCAAGAAAGGGAAATAGCTCGTGGTATCCTCACCGTTGTCTTGACATATCAATTCACAACTAACGTTGACATCAGAATGAGAGGTGTCATCAGGAGAAAGAATAACACAAACAGCAAACCCCAACGACTTATCTAAACAAGGTGGCGGAAAGTGGAGGGTTATAGTATCGCCTGCTGTTTGATTACTAAACCATTCTGGAATTTCACTCCCTGGAAATATGACCCCCCGAGTAAGACTTAGGCCACCATGATTAAGATTAATACCCTGCAATTGAACCACCAAGTTATTGTTAACACTAATCATTGAATTACTTCATCAATATTATTGTCAGTATAGTTGTAATTTTGACTAATCTCACAGGACAACCGTTTGACCATACTACATTTGGTTGCCTAGTAGGATATTAAATCCTAGGTAGGTGGTCACCATGGTTTGAATCCATTCACCCTAAGCCCTTTGCTATTTACATTGACATTTATTGACCACTAGGTCACACCATGATAGTTGTTAGTATGGTTATAACTGATATAAAACTTTGCCACATAAGTCGGTGTATCCTCCATGTGCATGCAAATGCGAAAAGTTAGAGAGAGAACGTACCTGATCATCATATAAAATCTGCATTGTTTTTGATGCAAGATGAACTTCCTGTATTATAGATTCCAAGATGCTGTTGCACTGATTCTTTAGTTTCAAACAGTTGGCAAATTTAAACTCTTAGTAAGTCCTGTTATCACTTTTGTAAAAAAATTCAAAGCTCATAATGGACTCCAGTGATGTGCATTCATCTGCCAGAAGAACGCTGAGGCTGGATGGAAGCTTCGGTAATGACACTAGTTTTTTGCAATAACACAGCATAAGAGTACCTAATTCAGGAAGATCATAAATGCTTTGAGGTAAGCTCTCAAAGTTATTTTCACTTAAGTCAATACTAGACAAGCAGGGCAAGTTGTGTAGACCACTTGGTGCTTCCACAAGATTGCAGTTACTAAGAGAAAGAGAACTAAGTTGTTTGAAGCCCCCCAAAGGAGGCAACTGCAGACCCATATTGCAACTTGAACTACTTCTGCTTCTGGGAAGAAACCAAGACAGAAAACCAAGACTACTCAGTGTCTCTGTTCCTCTACACCCATTAAACGATAACTCGAAAATATTCTTCAAACACACAATGGAGGATGGTACTTGTTTAATTGAGGTTTCATCTACATAAACCGTAGACAACGATTCTAAATTGCCAATGTTCTCTGGAAGATGTTGGAGGTTTTCACAACTAGACAGAATAAGACTATCGAGACATTTCAAATTACAAATGCTATCTGGAAGACTCACAAGGTTTTTGCAGTTTGTAAGGTCAAGCCCAACAAGTCCGTAGAAATTTTCAATAGATGAAGGCAGATTTGATATAGCAGTTCCGCTTAGGGAAAGACTCCACAAATGTTCCATATAATCGGAAATGGTTGGAAAGTTTTGGAGGCTCGAGCAACCAGAGAGATCCAACTCTTGAAGAGATTTCAAACAAATGCTGCTCGGAAGATTCCGTAGCTTCCTACAATCTCTTAGATTTAGAGTTTTGAGCTTGCTCAAAGTAGCCATAGAAGGGTGGATGGTACATAATTGTATGCAGCCCGCAAAATTAATATCCTCAAGATATGGAGCTTCTGATACATCAGGTACTTCAGATAGATACTCAGAATCGCTGAGGTTGATATGTTTTAAATTTGTAAATATCTGTAAGAGAGAAAAACATGACCAAAGTATAAAAAAGAAAAGGTAAAATTATAACTCCATTACGCCATGAACATGAACCAAACTTAATTTAAAAATTGAAATATTACACTTCTCCAGAAAAGGGTTAAACAAATAAATATTACCTTTTGTCCTTTGGACAGTTGTTTGATGCAGCTATGACGTAAACGCAACCAAAAAAGCTTGTCTGGATCAAAATTTGAAGGAAAAAATTTGTAGGGATATCCATCCCAAGAAAGGTACATCAAGCTGTCCGGAAGCATTGTCAAACCATGAGGAAGCCTTATCCTTGTCTTCGTGCTTTCTCCCAAGTTTTTGGAGAAGAAGTTCAGAAATCTCAGCTTGGTCATTTCCGCAAAAGCATCCTCACCTAATTCCACCTCTTTAATTTTTGACAAGTCCAGGAGTATGCCTTTAATTGCGTTAGTCCCCTACAATAATTACACCAAACAACAGGAAATAATCACTAGTTTAATTTCCATTATAAACTTAAGTAAATGAAATGAAATGAAAGGGTGATCCATCTTACAGCATTTCTCTTGCGTTACACCCTACTACGCTTGCCTGGCTCCTCCATGTCCTCTTGGCGAACAATTTCTTTACCCATTTCTTCGATCAAATCATGCATCTGAAACACAGAGTTTCTTGTAATAGACAGCAGACACTTGTCAATAAGTACAGAAAGACCAACCTCTGGGAAGAAGCCACAAGCATCCCACATTGCTTTGGCAATACCAACATGGTCCCCCTTAAAGAAACATGCAACATCAAGGAATATGCCCTTTTCTGTGCGATCCAGTCCTTCAAAGCTTACTTTCAACACATTCTGAACCTTTTCATTTGGTAATCTCTCTAGTTTAGCCAATTTACTTTCCCAAACTGGTTTATCCTTGCCACATAAACAAGACCCCAAGACCTTGAGAGCCAGCGGAATGCCCCCTGCATAATTTACAGCCTTTGTAGAAAGCTCCAAGAAACCTTCTGGGGAGTGGTCAATTCCTTCAAACGCAAACGCATGGTGGCTGAACAGCCGCATTGCTTCCTCGTGGCTTAAATGCTGTGCCTCGTAAACTTCATCCGCCCCATTAACAACTTGTCTGTGTCTGGTTGTTACGATGATCCTGCTTCCTGGGCCGAACCAATCACGGCCGCCGGCTAAATCCTCTAATTGTTCCATGTCGTTAACATCGTCGAGAACAATCAGCACTTTTCTTCCACGCATCCTCTTCTTTAAGAATCCACGCGAAATATTGCCAATTAGTTGGTCTCTCCGTTCCTCCAAAACTTCACATAGGAGCTTCTCTTGCAAATGCGACAGCCCATGTTTGATTTGATTTTCCCTCACGTTCTTTAGGAAGCAGCAGCCATCGAATTGGGATTTTATTCTATCAAATAGAGCTCTAGCAAGTGTGGTTTTACCGATACCGCCCATTCCCCAAATGCCCAAAATGCACACATCTCTCGAACCGACACGTACACGCGACTCAATGCGCTCTATACGAGCTTCTATTCCAACTAGACCCTCATGAACATCGATTGGTGTTAAACGATTCAGTTTTTTCAATATTTCACCACTGATTTCCTCTATAAATGTGGCTTCTTGCCTGTAAATATTCAAGTTAAAATAACACATCAAAGACTGAGGCAGCCCCACTTTATTCTTGTTTTGAGGTTAAACATATAATAAGAAAAAATACATATATATTGTAATGGTTTTAAAAAATGAAACACTTTCATGAGAATGTATACTTTTTTCATTCTAATTTTCACTATTATATAGTATGAGAATATGCATTCCGATGGACATCATATATTATTTAAAATTAAGTTATGTCTAAACTATTTATAAAAATAATGGTATAGGTCAAAGTAAAAAATGATCTAAGATTTAAGTCCCAACACACATCATATATTAGGTGGATATAAAGATGAGTTAGTAGAAGAAATCACATACATTCTATATATTTTTTATGGATTTTTATATTCCAATCGACACGAAACTTGGCGTATTTGCATATATTACTAATATGCATCTAACTCTAAAGTTGTTCATCCAAACTCTAGATGGAACCCCAACTTTTGGAGTCATGGCCCGAGACCCCAACTAACCCCCCACACTAATAAGCTTGCCAATAAAACCCTTGGCATCGCCTTTGCCTTCCATTCTACATGCGCCTTCTCCTAGCTTTCTTGTGCACATTCATATAGTGTATTAGGTGATACACTATCCTCTTTGGTCGACATGGCGCGATGGACGAGTCGTCTATGCTTGCTTGCTTGACGAGTGTCTCAACTAACTCCATCTTTGTATTATTTCATGATGTTTTCCATCGTCGTCCTTGAGAGTCTGTTGGTGTTTATCGAATGTTTCTGCATAAGTTCCCGTCTGTTTTCGAACATCTGACGGATCTACGTGGTAGAAAATGGGCATTAGGATTTGTCGATACAGCCTTCTACATTCAAGAATCTCCAAAAGCTCATTCAAGCACCATTTGGAAGATGCATAGTTGCTGGAGAAAACCACGATGGAAATCAGAGATCCTCGTATGGCTTTGAGAAGAGCCGCATAAATTTCTTGTCCCCCTCTTCAGCTCATCATCGACAAACGCTGTGATTCCTTTACGTTTCAATGCTGCTCAAAGATGGCTGACGAAATTATTTCTTACATCTTCACCTCGAAAACTCACGAATACGTCGTATTCATATTCACCACCTTTTTCGATCTCATCAGCACACCCACATTCTTCAGCCATTTGGAGATCAGCAAAAATTGTAAGCCAAGGGGAAGATGGGGAGTGCGAGAATACTACTTATTGTAATTATAACACCAAGAGCTGAGGTTTAAATGGTTAATTACAACAAAAAATAAAAAATAAAAATAGAAAAGTAAAGAATTAAATTCACCCTGAGAAAATATGGAAGAGACTTAAACCAAGAGAGCATACCACATTTAAGCCAAAGTTTAGAGACTAAATTCTTACTTTTAAAAGTTTAGGAACCAAATTATTGTATCACTAAAAGTTGAAGGACCAAATTTATTTTTTAATNTTTAAAATATCTATAGATAATTTTAAAAAAATTATAAAAATAAAAAATTTCACCCTTAAAATGATTTTTTTTTTTTTTTTGGATAAAAACTTTCAAATAATTGACATTAATATCATGTCTTTATTAATGATATTTTCATTCTTCATAAGACCATCTTTCCATTGCGCGTTTGGTAATTAGGGCATGCTCCACCAGAATAATTGGATTAAACTCATATTAAGATATAAAGAGCATAAACTTTAATTGTCAAATTAAAAGGAGTTAATTAATTTCACTGTTAGACTTTTGCTCGTCAAATTCATTTTCAAACTTTTTGGCATTAAAGCCAAAACACCTTGAATAAATTAAAGCAAACTGCTTTCTATCAGCTTTTAAAAAATTATGCAAAAGTTCAAACACTACAGATTTATTTTCATGAGATGGAAGACCGAAGGGAATTTAAAGTATATTATATCTGTTATTTGGGCTACAAAACCTTGTTTTTGTGACTAGTTTTGTTTAATTTTTTTACTTTAAATTTTGAATGTTTTATTGGCTGAATTTATATGATTTATTTAATTTGATTTTGTAAATGGATTAAGCTTCCAGTCAAACTTCCAAAATATTATACAAATTAATATAGGCAGGGGTAAAAAGGTGGGATAATTCAAACAAAGAAAGTAATTGTCTTGAAAAAATGAAAAAAAAAACGACGCAACAGAAAAATTGTACGATAAAAAACTTCTATTCACTAAATTGAGAATTTTGTAACAAGTATTTAAAAAAAAAAAGTAACAATCGACCATTAACATATTACTTCAAATTCTCTCAAAACCAATCTCACAACTCCACTAAGTCACTAAATCTACAAACTCTCAATTTACGTTCACTCTTCCACTATTTAATTAACTTTCAACAACTATGAAATTAACTACCAAACATAATTTTTAAAATATGGAAACCCTTAAAAAATAAACTATATTACATATTATTTCTACTAATTCTTAACATGCAATAGATATTCCCTCTATATTATTGAAAAGTGATAAGCTATGGGTAGTTTTCTACAGACCAACTGTTGAAAGAGCAATAATTACAACAGAAATACCTAATTGCCTAACAATAATAACAGCCGAGGTATTCATTAGCTAATATCAGTTCTAAACATTTGGATTAATGGTTTGTCTTCGCATTGATTTAATTTAAATCTAAAGTTAATTATTTGAAACGAATCTACTCTTTTCCTTTCTATTATTATTATCTTTTAATAAAGATACCCTAGCCTAGCTACTCTTTACTAATGGCAGTGGAAGGGCAGGGTGAGGTGGGGTAAAATTCAAAAAATAAAAGCATAGAAAAAAATAAAATTACACAATGAACAAATTTTTTTTTTCAAACATAAGCATAATTCAGCGGTAATTAGCATGCGATACTTTCCTCGAATTCAGAGATTCAATTCCTAATATCTCCAAATTGATGTACTAAAAAAATACTTTCACCCGACATTTATTTGTGTTTATTTTATTTTTCCGCACAGTCATGGCGCATACTTTTTCACTTTGGAGGCTCTTGGGTGCAACTTGCAAGTTCAACACATCTCACATCTCATACTTAAAAATATTACATTTATGAGTTTTGATGTACATTTATGCTTGGGGTGCAGCTTTAACTTTTAATTAAGAAATATATGTTTGAAAATAACAGGTCTTAGGAAGGGTGAAAAAAGAGGTAAAAGTATACTATACTATAGAGGCTCCATATATCATATATAGTTATTTATTATATTATGAAAATATGAAAATGCACCTTCAGGTATCAGCTTAGTAGCAAGAGACTTGGACGTTAATACCCAAGATTCAGGTTCGAGCCCTCCTTGTCCAGAAGTCAAAAAAATAAATAAATATATGAAAATTAGGAATTGCAACTGTTTTAACATATTTCTTAGCATGAGATGATAACTAACTTGTTAATAATTGAAATTCAGTTCCCTTCCAAGGCACCGAGGTAGGGTAGGGTCCACAAACATTCTAATTTCCCAACCTTTCTCTTTGAAGGATTATTTTGGAGGTTTTAACAACCAAAAAAAAAAAGGCACGACATCCTTCTTTTAATAATAGTTCAATAAATAAAGAGAGAAAATGAATTAAAAAGAGGTTCAAAAAAGGGAAATGAAATGACAGCCATTTTGAAAAGGAAATGAGACAAGGAGAAAGAAAAAAATAAAATAAATAGATAAAAAAGAGAAAGGAGAAGGAACCAAAGAAACGCCCAAACAGTTGCAACAAGTCGTGCGGATTGACGAGGCTTATAGGGTTAAAAATCGAGATTTCAACTTTCTTTAGTCGCTTTCAAGAAAAATCAATATGAGTTTCCTTCTTTTTAGCACAATAACGTCTATTTGGCCCTTCACTTTTGTGTATTGTTGCTTGAAATGAAGATTTTTTTTAATTAGAAAGAAAAGAAAAAGCTAGCTTCAACAGTGAACATTTAGTATACTTTGTGGAGAAGCAAATTTGATTGAGAAAGGAATAGATATTTAGTAAGTTGTAGTCTTGGTGGATTGGAAGAAGATAAAAGAGCAGGAAAATCTAAGTAAGAAGAGAGTTTTATAGTAAAATGCAGTTTGAGTTCGGTTAGATTTCTATTTGATCTCTAGATTTTTAAAATTGACAGTTTAATCCTCACATTTATCGGAATAATTCTAAAAGGTCTCTAAAGTCAAACTATTAAATTGTAAGCTGATGTGGAAGTTCGAGGAATGAAGTGTTATTTGATTATGTGTTAATTTTAATGAGGTGGCATTTGAGTTAGAAAGAACAAAGAAAAAAAAAGTAAAATAAAATAGATAAAAATCTCCAATGGAATATCGTCGGAGCAAAGTGAACTTCGCTGCCGGAGAACGCTAAGATGGAAGAGGTTAAGGCCAACATGGAGAATGGAATTACTGTCAACCAAAAAGTTATAAGATGAATGAAAGAGAATTTGACATTAATTAAATTTTATTTTATTATAATTAATGATTAAAAATGCTATTCATACTAGTATTAGTATTACATTAATGTTCAGGTCAGCTGAAGATCGGGACGACTTTATGATTTGAATTTCTCACACCAATAGTTCTGTGACCAGTAATTGATAGAATTTTGAGTTCTAAAGTCCAATCATGTTATACAAATGGGTTAACTGTTGTGAATCATGAAAATTATAAATAATTTATGGTTAAGATGGATTGCCGAATTATTTCTTAAGTATATGATTATCAAATCTTTTCATGCTGATTTTGTACTAAAAGATTAAGAAAATTTCACATACCATTAGCTTACTTTAATTATTTGATATAGAAATGGAAGGTTAATCGAAGTAAATCTTAGATTATTGAGCGACAAGAGCACAACTCAACGATAAAGGCATCTTACTTATTCTCTCAAAGTTTGAAGTTCAAATTCTCACCTTGTACTAAAAAAATATTATTGCTTTCATTTTAATTTCAAAATATAAAAAACAGTATTTTCTTTAATTCAAGATGGGTGAAGTATCTGGATAAGTTTAAGCGTTGACAAGTTAATCATATTCGGACAAAAAAAAATTGATTAAATTTTAATTTTATATTCGTAAGATTTCTTCCTTTTAAAATATTACATGACAAATATAAGAGTTAACATTTGAACATACCGCTCATTACAATGAAGCAAAGATTACTAATACCTTAAATTAAAAATATATACATATAATATATATATATATAAATAGACATATCTTAAATTGTTAACTTGATTTTGATGTCATGAGTTCAAATTTTTCCTCTAAAATTGGGGTGGGTTATGAAAAGAAAGATGGAAGAAAAAAAAGGGAGCAATATGTGTTCCTATAAAACTAACCCTTAATTACGTTATATGTTTTCCATACTCTCCTTATTGCCATCCTTAAGAGAAAAAAAACTACACCTTCTCTTTCTCACACACATGAGAAGAGACTACAAGACAACCAACCCAATATAACCAAAATAAAATATTTGACTAAAAAAAAAGGCCAAAATAAAATATTATAATTAACTATATAATAAGAAACTAGATATTCAAACATAATTGTATATGAATGACATAATTCAAGAGGCTTATCGGCCATTTCCCTGAGTTTCCTGACAAACAAAACAAAGTGCAGTAAAACGGAAAGAAGCTTATATATTCATTTACATAAAGCATTCAACTTCACAATTACCTATCTTATTATATGATACATATGGAAACCTCAACCTCCAGAAACAGCTAACAATTTCATGAATACAAAAAGCTTCATCTCATACTCATGGCAGGCCAAGAGTTTGCACCAGCACCTGTCAGCGAAGCTCTCACCACAGGCACCCGTCTCACTACCGAGAAGGCTTCGTTCAAGCGTGCAGCTCGATCTACGAACTGTGATACCTTCTAAAAAAAGTTGCTCACCAATATAAGGTTTTACATTTATTCAAACATGTTTTGCAAATTATGAAATGGATTTACATGTCAAACCAACCATCGTCTGTTAGCTGCATTCCACTCAAAACGTATGGGGAAGGGGACAAAACCTCAATTTTTCACTCAATGGCTCATGATGTTTTCTATTTTCCCCTGAGAAATAGATTTTTCTTTTTAAATAATAGTAAAATAGTTTTACTTGGTTCATAATCAACACAATTTACGTAGGTCCGAAATTATGTTTCTTAAACAAGATTTACAATGGTGTAACTTGGACCATATAGAAATCATGTGTACTACATTGTCGTTACTTTTCAAATTACCCAATATACTTTTAGATACTTATGGATCTTATAGACTCCTCCCCTTATGAATTAGAAGCCGACCAGTGCATATAGGCAATCCAGGTAATCAAGATAGTCACAGTCAGCACCAATGTCAACACAAAAAACACATCTAATGGATAGCATTTAGATGGATTACAGATGCATCCAATGTAAAGATTATAAATATCCTTCATCCGACAAAGAAGTTTGTCACAGACCAACAAAAAGTAATTAGAAAAGTCAAACAATAAACACAAGTGTAAGATATCTCAGAGTGTGATCAAACAGAGAAGGATGTGGTAGGGTTAAAATACGTTTCATTAATTCATTGAGAGGAGAGCTTTCCTATTGAAACAATCAAAGCTTAGATAACACCTTCTCAATCACGAGAACAACATGCTAGAAAACAATGTTTCCCGGACCTTTTTTATTCCTCTTTTGATATTGATGTATCCGGTCCAGTTTGTGCGCACCTAAACTATTCTAACAAATAACTACCTAACTCTACTACATTTGGTTGCTCAAGTAACTCATATAGGTACCCTAGGTAGATGGTCATCCTTGTTTCGAGTTTTCAACTCATTTCCTCTAATAATCTCTTTACTGTTTACATTGGTCCTAATTGACCACCTGGCCAAACTGTAGTTTCAAGCTAGATCTCTAAAACTTGTACTACGTCCTGGGTGGGTTATTCGATGGATATAATGTAGAGTTATGTTTCTATCAATTATGATTACTGCCAAAGCGGGTATTAAACGAAAGTACTTCACCCAAGGAATAACGGAAAGAGGCAATAACTAACCTTATCATCCACTGCAATCTTCAACTGAAGGCTCTTAGTTTTCCTCTTCATAATGTAGAATCTACGTCCCAAGAACACGATTCCCATGAAAGCGGCAGCCACAGAGAAAGACCAGGCGGGGCTGGCCCTTAAAAAGCAGTACCTCAACACCTGAAAAGGAACCTTCCACCACACAACCCTCCTTCTCTGTGCGTCTGCTGCCTCCACTTTCACTTCTTTTGCGGCATCTATTTTCTCATTCCATTCTCCACCCAAATCCTCCTTTGAAATATCCTCAACACTGTCGCCGTCTCCAGATTTCATGGCAACTGACTCATTTCCACTCGAATTAGAATAAGAGTCGTCCAAAACCTCATCCTGGATCTCACTATCTTCACCAGAATCTTCGGATTCCATTGAGCTATACATGTCCTTCGCAGAAACTGGTTCATCTTTAGCAACGAAAGCAGAGCCACTCAATTTAGCATCGTCGGACTCCCGTCTCTCCAAATTCTCGGCGTCGGCTGTAATTTCTTCAAAACCTGTTACGCTTTTCATAATATCTGCAAGCACGTTCGCATGAGGCTGGTTTAATTCATCTTCGCTCAAAAGGCCATCTCCCAACTCGGACCCTAATTCACTCGTATTCTCCCGACAATTCCGATTTTCCAAATCAGTGTCATTCAAACACTCCTTGCTTGTACTAGACTCCAGGGCAGTGTTTGCACTCGTTTCGTGATCACGAAGAGAAAAGTAATCCAACCAGATTGTGCTTGCAGAGCCTGAATCGCCTTCAATAACCTGAAGAAATCTCGAGCTGGAATCGGGAAAATTGGAGGAGTAAACTTGGGGTAAAGTGTCGTCATCCTCATGGAGAACCTCCCAGTCCTGGAATTCAGTTGCTGAACCCTCCTCCATGGCGGTGGCTTGTGGAGAATCACGCTAGGAAAAAGCAAACGCTATCCGTAATGTATAACAACAAAAGTAAATTGAAAGTTGAAAGGAACAGGATGGATGGGCCCACAGAAAAGTGGAAAAAAAGGGTCGTTTTTATGGGTAACCCACCAAAAGGGGCACGGCAGTTATTCCTATTCCAATATAGAACAAGCACTCTTTCTCCATCCTTTTGTAAGAAAGAAAACACCCAATCACTGCACTCTATTCCTCTCTTTTCAATTTTACAATCCAAACTGCTGATTTTTAAAAAACAATGGAAATATCATCTTTAAGCCCAAATTCTCATTGATGCCTCACATTTACTGAAAATTCCAAAGGATTTGGTCAGACGAGAGACATGAAGAAAGCAACACAAATAATATATATATATATATATATATTTAACTAATCTAACCTCTTTACCCTACAATATTTGAATCTAGAAAACACATAAAAATTAATTCTTAAGATGGATAGTCATCGTAGGATTTGAATCCATTGCCTCTCACTTTATTCTAACTCCTTTAGACCATTGGTTGAACAAGGATAACATTCTAGAATCCACAATCTACTATCCTTGTACAAAACAAAACTCACTGCAAACTTTAGATTGGATAATAATAAGAGCTTTTTGTCAGCATTTGGCGAACAGATTCTAATAAAATTTGTGAACATCAAAGAATAAATCAGAAAGAAACTCAGCCATTTATGTCAACAAGTTTACAAGAAAAATGGATTGGGTGGTCAAACATGACTCAAATGTGAGCCATACTAAATTCATATATACCGTACCAACCAATGCTATCGCATTAGAACACTTGTGCTTTTATGTTGATCTCAGTATACAACAAAATTATCCGCAAAAGAGCAGTTCTTCCAAACTTGGGATTGAAGAAGACCAGCTTTGCATTGCGCAACAGCAATAACATCAAGGGGACAAACGTTTCTTCAGCTCATCAATGATGTTGCTTCTGGAAATTGTTACTTCTTCGAAGGTTTCCACGTTTTTCAACTTCACAATCCCCTCACTCACTTCACGTTCCCCCAAAAATACTATCCAAGGGATTCTCGACTCTTTCGCACGATCAATATGTTTCATTACTCTTTTATTGACAAGGAACTCGGCATTCAGTTTTGCACTCCATATCTCACTTGCAAGCTCCGCTGCTTGCGTCAAATCATCCCCCAGTATGCTCACTAAAACTTCGGTCTTAGTGGCCCGGGTAGTCTGCAAAATCCCAACAGTTGATTTAAATGATGATAGTCCATTCAACAAAGACAACTAAAAAAATTGAGAAAAGAAATCATTAAATGGCAGAATATATAAGAGGGAGTCTTAAGAACTAAACCACCGGGAGTTCAGAAAAGAGAGCACCCCAATTAACAAAGGTAGTTTAGGGCTCGTTTGGTAACGTTTTTGTTTCTTGTTCCCGTTTCTTAATTTTTAATGAAGAAAAATGAATTGCATGGCTCCAATATCATGAATTCAAGTATGATAAAACAATATTTTTAGTTATGTTTGAAACAAAGTGGAAATGGGAACAAGAAAGAAGAAACTTGTTTTGATTGTTTTCAAAATTTCTATACAATTGTGAGAATGTTCCCATATAAAGAAAACCAAGAAACAAAATTATTTGCGAAATGCTTCGAATCTTAATATTCAACTACAAGAGAAGCTCACATCTCACACTATACCAAGGATTCAAATAAAAGTATTAAGTTGTTACCTGGTTTTGATCTTTCAAAAGTTGTTCCATAATAACAAAAACTCGTTCAATTCCAAGACTGACACCAACTGCTGGGACCTGCTTGGAACCAAACATTCCAATAAGGTTGTCATAGCGTCCACCAGCAGCAATAGAACCAACCTGAGAACATAAATGATTTGTTAATTACATCCTTAAAATGTCCAAATAAAATATGTATTAGGATGCAGCACGGTAACATGACGATAGATTCGTACATCATTGCAGGTAATAGAGCCATGGAGAAGGTGATCTTAGAGAGCAAAATTATTTCCATCAGATGTCATTGAAGAGGGTAGGGGGTTGGTTTCGGACTAGGCATTAGATTTGAGGATGGAATCTGTAAAAGTACTGTACTTGGGCTACAGCATCTTGAGGTTTGTTGAGGATTTTTTTTACCTCCAGCACACAGGAGGTCCAATGTCATTCGGCGTGAAATGGCTCGCTTCTAGGCAGAGTATGGATGTCAACTGGGTGGCTTCAAATATAGGTTTTCAGTATGGAAATACAGATGTGTATTTAATGGGGTCCTGGTTTTAGTGGGTCTCTTTTGTCACTGAAAACATTCCTTAGAAGAAGCAAATAGTAAGGTTAAGGATCTTGATGGTACTCGAGAGTTTGTTCCTCCACCAACAAGAAGGATTGTGTGGATGTGAAGACCAAATCCTATCCGTCAAGGTCTACTACCAATGAGACGAAAGAAGCACAACATCACCCTCAAGCTGGAGTCAACACCAATTAGGCCAAAGTGGGGAAGGTGGCTCGTAGGTTGTATCCAAATTCAACTTTCTCCCACGTCACCCAATATTTCATGTATCCAAATTCAAGTATGTCATTGAAACTTTGGCTACTTCTGTCCCTATTCCACCTCAATTGATGTCTGAATTTATTTTGGATGTGGAACAATGAATCTTCCAAATTTGACGGTCCATTTCCAATTATTTTTTACAAAGTTTTAATACAATGGCAATGTCTTCCTAATATTGATGCTACATCTACATGGGAGCCAATGGAATAGAAACTAGCCAACTGCAATTTCCACACTTCAACCTTCTGGATAAGATTTCTAATTGGGCCCAAATACTGATTAGGCCACACATTATTCTCAATAAACAAGGAGAGGGAAACAGGGATAAGAGATGGGTTAAACATTCTGAACCTTGCGGGCTGAGGGACATTTCTGTTTATGGGGGTATTCTTGTCTTTAAAAGTTAGTTATAGATTCTGTTGGTTTAGGAGTTATTGGGCGTGTCAAGGGACCTATTAAGAAAGTGGAAGAAGTCAGAGGGGGATATCAAATGTTAATTATTTGGATAGGAGGAGCTAGGCTCTCGAACTAACCATGCAAGATTGTATTACTAGCAATTCTTCAAAATAACATTAAGTTGAATTCTTTTGATTGCTCTAGCACAACAAAATCCTCCCAATGATTGGTAGTTGAATTATCACGGAAAATCTTTAAGCAATTGAAGTAGAGTCACAATTAACAACAAACAACAGCATGTGCATATAACAAGTCAAAAGAAAGAAAGGTGCTAACAGACTTGATGATGAAAATATAGAAGCCTACCTGGGTACCACCTTTAAAAACAGCTTCATAAATTACACCAGTATAGTAATCAAGACCTCTGGCAAGACTCAAGTCAAATACCACTTTGTCGACACACTTTGACTTTTCTAGAGCATTGAATAAAATCTCTAATTCACCCAATGCATCAAAAGATCCTTTATTTTGTAGTAACGGGCACTGCTCCTGTTTAAGCTTAGATAATAACTCCAATGGATGTCCCCTTTCCTTCACAAAATCACCAATTTTTTCAGCTATCTCCACGGTCAATCCCTTTTCCTCCACCTAGCAAGTTAACGTCAATTTATAATCAATTAAAAAAATCCATTCTTATTCTGGCTAGGATGAAAGACAAAAAAATGCAGAACTAGGAAAAGAGATCAATGTAAGAGTTTACCTCACAACGGGAATTAGGTTAACAGAATAAAAAAATCAAATCAAATTAAAACTAATTAAATGATAAGAACCAAAAAGGAAAAGAGCTTTGACTCAAGTGAAATGCAAATATATGTTAGACCACCTAATTTCAAAATTGACGCACTCAATCTGTATTGAGCATTACATAAACCAGATAACTAAAAGATACTAAGAGTGGAAGGCAGAAAGAGGCAGCTGCAGGCATACTGGACTAATAATTAAAATTGTTAGAACAGTAAATTTAGTTACCATTTCTCTTTTTATCTGGTCAAAAGATTGCTTGTCTAACTTGTCAATACTCGAACATATGGTTCTGAACTTTTCAGGCGGTACTCCACAAATTTCTAACATTCCATCCAATAGCTTCCGATGATTCAATTTTATCTGCAGAAGAAAATATATACAAAATAGATTCGGTTAAAGGTTTAACCACAAAGTGGAGTCATCAGAAATCAATGGCTATAACAACATGAATCGACTAAGGCAACTCAGTGTAATAGTCTAATAGAAAAGGAATCCAATCCACTCTAGGAAGTAGGAATATGATAATAAGGGCAAATGTGCTTAATAATTTGCTTGATGTTTTGTGCTATACTTCCTGATTCATAATTATTATTCAGAACTAAAAATTTGTACAAACTAAACACCAAGCAAACAAAAACATTGAGTTATATTCTGCAGAACAATTAGTAAAAAAGGTTACCTCATACTGTCCAATGCTCAGCTCGTCAAGTAGCTCCGTTAGTATCTTAATAACCTCAAAATCAGGCCCCATCTTTTCATATTGACCAGCAATGTCAAAATCACACTGATAAAATTCACGGAATCTACCCTTAGATGGGTTGTCCCTTCTATAAACTTTTGCTATTTGATACCTTTTGAATGATGTAATACCATTCATGGCCACATACCTAGCAAATGGAACAGTCAAGTCGTATCTAAGCGAACAGAGCTCCCCTCCCTGTAAACAGACTGGAAAACAAATTACAATGATGGGGAAAAAGAATGACGAGAAGTTATTGCACTGCAACATAAAAATTATCCAGTGTTCAGAAAATTTAAAGCCACATGATTCATTTTTTTTAGATTAAAAAACACAACCTTCATTGGCAATGAAAGAAAAGGCCCCAGGATTCATTGTTGAGAAACTATAGAGCTAGATAGAAGAGAGAAAGCAATGCAGCCAATGATTAAACAGAGAAGCATTAATCCAATAAGAAACAAATAAAATGTATCGCATATCAATCCCCGATACCCAAAAAGTTAGAGAACCTTGACATAAGGATTGAATGTTAAAATGCCCACAAAAGCTCATCATCACAAATTAAAGTTAAATGTTTGTAAATGGCATTA